GCTCGTCGGTGAGATGCATGTTCTCGCGGGAGAGACGGCGACGGAGGGGAAGAACCGAGCGGCGACAGCGGTGGACAGGACAAACAGAGTCGCATACTGCACGGGCCTACTTGGGCCTATGTCGTACAGCTTGCTACACGAGGACCGTGAGATGCCCTTTGGATGGAATGGACGGCGTAGATCCCTCGGCTGTAGAGAGCAGTCAGCCAGATCGACTGCAGAGGATCTCGTTCCGGCATTGCAGCCGTTGCCTCGCCACAGCACAGTTTGATTTCGCACAGTACGATTTCGCCACAGCACAGTTTGATGCTCGTAGCTCATCACTGACACAATGACACTGGTTTACCCGGACACTGTAATAGTGTAGCTAGGGTGCCGTCGCCAGTTGTGCCATGCATGTAGGAGTGCTACGTGCTAGCACGAGTGGGGACTGGAGAGTCAACCGGAGATAATGGCCATTTTTTAGGGTGCACTCAAAGCGTCTAGGAAGTGTAGTAGTAATCTAGCCCACCCCGGCCTCCTTTACACGCAAGCAAAGCAAGGCCTTTTTTTTTATCAAAAGCTAAAGTTTAGGATGCCATATCGAGGTATTATATAGAAGTATTCAAATATTAATAATAAAATAAATTATAGAAGTCATCGTTACTCCGCGAGACGAATTTATTAAGTCTAATTAATCCGTTATTAGCTTTACTGTAGCACAACATTGTCAAATCATTGACTAATTAGTCTTAAAAAATTCGTCTCACAAATTAGTCGTAATCTATATAGTTAGTTATTTTTTTATCTATATTTAATGCTCCATGTGTCCAACATGCGATGAGATAGAGACTGAACTTTAAAGGGACTAAACAAGGCCCAAGTGATGTGAACCCTCGTCGCCAGCGCTAACAACGAACATAGGAGTAGTACACAGCATCCAGGAGCTAGCCTTCCATTTCTTCATAGCCACTTGACTCGAGTGTACGCAATGGACAAAATACCTAGACTAGTAGACTATCCCACAGTACTCCCTTTGTCTATAAAAAGAATACAACTATATAAAATTTACGCGAATCAAACTAGCTTAACTTTGAATACATTTATTCTATCATGAATGTTATTGTTTTTTTTACATAACTTTGGACATATTTTAAATCGTTGACTCCTCGTAAGGTGGCAATTGTATCTTTTGTGGACGGATGGGTATAAATGTACTCCCTCCGTCCAGGAATGAATGTAATTATGGGAACCTTGTCAGTCAAACTGGCTAAAGTTTAACTAAGTTTATAGTAAATATTATTAGTATTTATGTCTACAAATAAATTTAATATGAAAATATATTCTATGACGAATTTAATGATATTTATTTTGTCTTATGGGTGTTAGTATTTTTTCATATAATTTTGGTCAAAGTTTAAAGTCTTTGACCTCTCGAAATGTGATAATTGCATATTTTTATGGACAGATGGAGTATAATGGTAGTGGTATGTGAACATTACAGTTCGCTGGGCATCACGTTGAAAGAACAAACAACAAATTACTTGTTGACATTTGTTTCAAAAGTAAACCCAAATCACCAACCAATGATTTTTCTCTCATAATAAACCAAAGACCAAACCAAAAGCCCAAACCAAATTTTATAGAAACCAATCTGCGTCTGTGATATGTAATTCGCTAAAAAAAAGAATTAACAACATCTATTCAGAAACTGATATTCCTCCGCGGTTATTAGTTTTTTCCCTGCAGCTGAATCGCTAGCAAATGGTAAGTCTGATTGTGGTCGGGCTCACCCGACCGTGATATTTCTCCGCGGTTATATCGAGTCGCTAGCAAATGGCAGAAAACCCATCCAGTTAGCTAAGCTAACCAAACCAAAGGTAGCCAAACTTGCGCTTTGCTTGCGCAGCGGAGAGAGGAATATAGCAGTAGACTAGAAAAGGCCAAAAGAGGGAGGGGAGTGGGAATGGCGTGAGCCGTAAGCGAAGCCGAAAGCTTCGCCATCTCCAGAGTCCACTCCACTAGGGTCCATGGACCAGGGCTGTCTCCGTCTGTATGCATTTGGCCATTTGCCGATCGGCTGTCAAGCAGGGTCGCGACGGCGGCGCGCCTGCAGCCCGATCGCGATCAGTTTGCTCCGGGCCGGCCGGGCTGGATGGGACCGCGTGCCGCGCCCATGCACCGCCGCCCGCCCCGACGTGCCACTTGGTACGTGGGAAATGCCATGCAGATACAATGCAGCTCGAGCTCGACCGCTCTCCACCGGCCCGGCGGCCCCGTCGCTTTGCGTGCGCTGTTCCGCGCGGAAGCCGGAAGAGGACGTGCGCCTCGGCTCCACGGCACCGGCACGCCCACCGACCGATCGTGCGAGATGGGCGCCGCCGCCGCCGCCGCCGCTGCGCCCAGCCGATATACGGAAACAAGGCCCCATGACAAACCGAAGCTGCCAAACCATGCATGCAAGCTGCGTGCGATGCACATGCACCGCACCGCGCTTTATTATTATTATTATTTTTACACGCGTGAACTGCAGCGTGCCCGAGTGTCGTCACGTACTACTCATCACACACACACACACACATCACCACCAACAGGCAGCACGGCACACGTACCGGACCAGAATGGCAAGGTAGGCCTACCGCTGTCCCAGCTCTTCCCTGCTGCTTTTCCTTTCCTTTCCTTTCCTCTTTACTCCAGCTCTTTGACTTTGCCGACCAACCAACGACCCAGATAAGCTAACTACACTACTGCTGCCCACCTAAAATTCTGCATCGCTCATAAAAGACCACCAATGCGAGCGAAGCGAATCCAAGAGAGAGGGGGACTTCATCATACATGGTGCATGCAGAGGTCCATGTCACAGTGCCCAAACAGGCCTGTACGAGTACTGCATCTGCTTCTACAGCGATGGAGTCGTACCGGACCTGCCGTGCCGTGCCGTCCACATCAACGTCAGCAATTAGTATTCGTTTAAAGAATAACATGATTTTAAGTATAGCGTCTTGAGTTTGACTATTTTTTTTAAAAAAAAATGTATCAATATTTATGATTATGATGTACTCTAAATAAGTGGAGATAGATTTATTATTAGATATATTTTTTCTATAAATATAGTAATTTATGATATACGTTTTAATATTATGTTCTATAAATTGGTCAAACTAGTAAAACAAGAATCGCAGGCTTTTATTTCATTATTAGTTATAGCGAGCTTTTACTCCTAACTAATAATTACTCAATTTCTATATATACACCATTATATTCACATTGAAAGCTACTTATTTAGGGTTAAACTTCTGTATCATCACAAAATAAGCATATAATAAAATAATCATTAGTACCTCTCTAATAACTATATTGGCAAAAGGTTTGTCGTAACGAAATAAAATACATCTTCCATTAGTAGGCAGAGAGCTAGTATTGGCCGGCAATCTAATCACGAACTGCCAATTTTACTTTACTTTAGTGTCTTATGCAGTACCAAACCATAGCCTTACTGGTGTTTAAGGATCTGTTTGGTTCACTGCAGCTAATAGTTAGCTGCTAACTATTATCTGAAGATCTTTTTAGATCCTAAATCAACAAGCTCAACTAATGTTTAATCTATCAGCCAGCTAGCAATTGGCTATTTGGCTATTAGATGCAGATCTATTTACATCCTCAACTAATAAACCCAACTAATGTCTTACCTTTTCCTCAAAAAAAAACCTAATATCTTACCTATCATCCAGCAAGCAATTAGCTATTACCTGAGGATCTGTTGAAATCCTTAGCTAAAAAACTCAGCTCAACTTATGATTTACCTATTATCTAGCTAGCAACTGATTTTTTTCCAGCTAACACAACTAATAGTTAGCTGGTGGACAAAGAGGGCCTTAAATAACTATTGTGTATCATAATCGATAGTTTTCAGGTACTCTCTCCATCCGAGAAAAAAACACAAATGAAACTACTACCGAATGAAATTATTTTTATTTTTTTAGCAAAATTATATAAAACCCAATATTTATATAATACTATATATAGCCATATAGGTATCATTAGATTCATCAAGAACATATTTTTATAGTATATTTGTTTTGTTTATTATAAATTTTTAATCTATCGTATAAATTTGTTTAATTTTTAAGTATTTCGACTAGATTGGATTATATCTTTTTCATTCACTAACACAACCTTGAAGAACACTCTGGATATAATCGCTGATGAAAAACTGCGGTGTAGTACTCGCACGTCTGTCGCCGTCGCCTTGACTCCACCTCTGTGGCTCTGTGGCGTCACTCTCCCAAGTCCAAACTCCAAACAACCGCCCACCACTGGGGCAGCCAGGAGCATTTATTATTTTCAGCACGCTCCGTTTGATCCGCGTCTGCCCACCCATTTCGTCCACTGGTTTAAACGCCTGCCGCTTATTAATTGCAGCCGAATAAAACGCACAACTAGAACTGGTGCGCCTACCATGTCCGTGGATGAGAGAGAGAGGAGAGCACGAGAAAGTATGAGAGAGAGAGAGAGGTGTGTGTGGAGAGGAACAGAAATTGGATCTCTCTGAGAATAAAGAAACGCAAGCGAGCAGAGGGAAAGATAAACAAATCCGATCCGCACTGCTGAGCGCATCGGAGTCAAAACCAACCGTCCCTGTCTTTCCTCTGACTTTCCCCATCACTTCTTCCCTGTGATGTCGTCGTCCTCTTTCGGCGCCTCTCAATCCAGCGCGGACCAAGCACGGCAGTCGACGAGATCCTCCTCCATGCAGCGCTGCTTGCGCTTGTTTCTCCTCCTCTGAGCCTGCCGCCTGTCCTCTTCTTGGGAGCTTCTGCGACGACTGCTGTTCTGCTCTCGTCGTCATCGCCGCTCCTGTTCTTGGTGCTCGGTCGATGCATGCAGCGGCAGCGTAGCAAGGTGGTGTGAGTGAGCTCCGGCGAGAATTGCCTGCTTCCCTTGCGGCGCTCGCCGTGGTTCATGCCCTGCGGGAAAAGAGCCTCCTTCCCGGACCCCGCCGCCGCCGCCTGTCGCCGGAGATGGGTGGCTCCCGCTGGCTGCTCAACTTCCTGCTCGTCTCCGCGCTGCTCCACGTCGTCCATTCCGGCCGGTCCCTGGAGTCCCAGGCGTGCGACCCCGCCGACCTGAAGGCGCTCCTCGACTTCTCCGACGCCTTGGACAGCAAGCCGGCCGGGCTCGTCGGGTGGGGCCCCGGCGACGCCGCTGCCTGCTGTTCCTGGACGGGCGTCGCCTGCGAACTCGGGCGGGTGGTCACGCTGGATCTCTCCAACAAGAGCCTCCACGGCGGCATCTCCTCCGCGGTCGCCTCCCTCGATGGCCTCGCCACGCTCAACCTCTCCCGGAACGCGCTCCGCGGCGCCGCGCCGGAGGAGCTGGCCGGGCTGCCGAAGCTGCGGGTGCTCGACCTCAGCGCGAACGCGCTCTCCGGCCCGTTCCCGGCCGCTGCTGCCGCTGCCGCCGGCGGCGGCTTCCCGGCGATCGAGCAGGTCAACATCTCCTTCAACAGCTTCGACGGGCCGCACCCCGCGTTCCCCGCCGCGGCGAACCTGACGGCGCTTGATATCTCCGGCAACAACTTCTCCGGCGGCATCAACTCGTCCGCGCTCTGTCTTGCGCCGCTCGAGGTCCTCCGCTTCTCGGGGAATGCCTTCTCCGGCGAGATACCCAGCGGGTTGAGCCGGTGCAGGGCGCTCACGGAGCTCTCTCTCAACGGCAACTGTTTCACGGGGAACATCCCCGGCGACCTGTACACGCTGCCCAACCTGAGGAGGCTGAGCTTACAGGAGAATCAGCTCACCGGCAACCTCGGCAATGACCTTGGTACCCTCTCTCAGATCGTGCAGCTTGACTTGTCCTATAACAAGTTCACAGGCTCCATCCCTGATGTCTTTGTAAAGATGAGGTGGCTAGAGTCCGTAAACTTGGCCACCAATAAGTTGGATGGTGAATTGCCTGCTTCCCTGTCCAGTTGTCCACTGCTGAGGGTAATCAGCCTGAGGAACAACTCGCTGTCTGGTGAGATTGCTATCGACTTCAACGTGCTGCCGAAGCTGAATACTTTTGATATTGGAACCAACAATCTGAGTGGTGTTATACCTCCTGGCATCGCCGTGTGCACCGAGCTGAGGACGCTGAATCTTGCAAGGAACAAGCTCGTGGGGGAGATACCAGAGAGCTTCAAGGAGTTGAGATCCCTGTCGTACCTCTCATTGACAGGGAATAGCTTCACGAACCTCGCATCGGCATTGCAGGTCTTGCAACACCTGCCCAACCTCACAAGCTTGGTGCTCACCAGGAATTTCCGTGGTGGCGAGACAATGCCAGTGCATGGCATCAGTGGGTTCAAGAGCATGCAGGTGCTCGTCCTGGCAAACTGTTTACTGACAGGCGTAATTCCGCCTTGGCTGCAGAGCTTGGGAAGCCTCAATGTGCTGGACATTTCATGGAACAAGTTAAATGGGAATATCCCACCGTGGCTAGGGAAGCTGGACAACCTCTTCTATATTGACCTGTCAAACAATTCTTTCAGTGGTGAGCTTCCTATGAGCTTCACACAGATGAGGAGTTTGATTTCAACTAATGGCTCGAGTGAGCGGTCACCAACAGAGGACCTCCCGTTATTCATCAAGAGGAATTCAACTGGCCAAGGTTTGCAGTACAACCAAGTCAGCAGCTTCCCACCATCACTTATACTCTCAAACAATCTGCTTGCTGGGCCGATCTTGTCAAGTTTTGGTTATCTTGTGAAGCTTCATGTCCTGGACCTGAGCTGGAACAACTTCTCAGGGCCAATCCCTGACGAGCTGTCAAACATGTCGAGCTTGGAAGTGCTGAATTTGGCCCACAACAATCTCAATGGGACAATACCTTCGTCTCTAACAAAGCTGAATTTTCTCTCCAAGTTTGATGTGTCGTACAACAATTTGACTGGAGATATCCCTACCGGTGGGCAATTCTCCACATTCTCACCTGAGGATTTTGATGGTAACCCTACACTCTGCCTTCGGAATTCTTCATGCGCCGCGAAGGATTCATCTGTGGGAGCTGCGCACAGTAAGAAAAGCAAAGCCGCCCTTGTTGCCCTTGGACTGGGAACTGCAGTTGGGGTTCTCCTCTTCTTGTTCTGTGCTTATGTGATCGTGTCAAGGACTGTTCATTCAAGAATGCAGGAGCGCAATCCAAAGGCTGTAGCAAATGCTGAAGACTCCGAGTCTAACTCTTGCCTGGTGCTGCTTTTCCAAAACAACAAAGAATTCAGCATTGAGGACATCTTGAAGTCCACCAACAACTTTGATCAAGCTTATATAGTTGGATGTGGTGGTTTTGGCCTTGTCTACAAGTCGACGCTGCCAGATGGGAGGAGAGTTGCAATCAAAAGGCTTTCAGGTGACTACTCTCAGATCGAACGGGAATTCCAAGCTGAGGTGGAGACACTTTCACGGGCTCAGCATGAAAACCTTGTCTTGCTGCAAGGTTATTGCAAGGTCGGCAATGATAGGCTGTTGATCTACTCATATATGGAGAATGGTAGCTTGGATTACTGGCTTCACGAGAGGGCTGATAGTGGGATGCTGCTGGATTGGCAGAAGAGGCTACTGATTGCACAGGGTTCTGCAAGGGGGCTGGCATACCTGCATATGTCTTGTGATCCCCACATACTGCATCGAGATATAAAATCAAGCAATATCCTTCTAGATGAGAACTTTGAGGCCCATCTGGCCGATTTTGGCTTAGCAAGACTCATCTGCGCATATGAGACACATGTCACAACAGATGTGGTGGGAACCTTGGGGTACATTCCTCCTGAATATGGGCAATCACCAGTGGCGACTTACAAGGGTGACATATACAGCTTTGGCATTGTTCTGCTCGAGCTACTCACTGGTCGGAGGCCTGTGGACATGTGCAGGCCGAAAGGGACCAGGGATGTGGTGTCATGGGTGCTTCAGATGAAGGAGGAGGGCAGGGAAACCGAAGTTTTCCATCCAAGCATACATCACAAGGACAATGAAAGCCAGTTGATGAGAATCCTTGACATAGCCTGCCTTTGTGTGACTGCTGCTCCGAAATCAAGACCAACATCGCAGCAGCTAGTCGCATGGCTCGACAACATCGCAGAGGGCGGAGGTCTACTGCAATCCTAGTTCCCAGTGGCTTTAGTTTGCTTGCTTGAGCAGGATCAGCCTGATAGCTTCTTAAGAATGATTAGTTGTGTACATAATATTTTACATAGAGTGATATGCCGAGAGTAATCTTGTCTTGCTCTCTTCTCAAGTAATGATATGAACATCTTCTTTTACTTCATAAGGTGGTTGCAAGATCACCAGAGTGTAAAAATGCTTTGTAGGCTTACCCTAATAATCTAGCGTTGATATGAGCAGCTTTCCTACAGGTTTGTGGCATGCCTTGTAACTTCAGTTATTCGTATGGGACAGATTTTGCAGTTGCAGCAATTTTCTTGTATGGTCCATTAACCCTGCATCTCTTCGTGTTCATGCACGTCTTCTTTGAATCTTTATTGTTTGCTAAGCATGTTCCATTAGCACTGCAAATAGTAGCTCTAGAATATTGTTCAATGAGAATGATGAGTTTGTACAGCGAACACTGGCCCAAAAAGTCTACAGAATTGTATCACCTACTGACTTCTTGCGTTTTATTGTTGGGCTTAGGGTGCTGGTGTGTGTTTTGTTTTGTTTTTAGGGAAAGGGCGCTGGTGTGGTTGATGCAGGGAACCAGTGGTGCAAATATGTTTTTTCTTTTTCGCTCTGCACTCTACAGGGTTGTATTTGTTTTTCTTTTTCACTCTGCACTCTACAGGGCTGTACTTTGCTTGTAGTTTGATGGTCTGATCCTGATCCTCACCGAGTTGCCTGACGTTCTCTAGCAGAATAACATTCATAAATACACATGTGGAGGCTTGAAGGCACCAGCCAACATGCTCATTATCCCCTTTTTAGAAAGGCAACATGCTCATTATCCCCTTTTTAGAAAGAAAAATAGTTTGATGGTCTGATCCTGATCCTCACCGAGTTGCCTGACGTTCTCTAGCAGAATAACATTCATAAATACACATGTGAAGGCTTGAAGGCACCAGCCAACATGCTCATTATCCCCTTTTTAGAAAGAAAAATAAAGGTCGCTCGATCATGATGGCATTGACTGGTAGTATAGTATCATCATCATTCCTCGAATCCATAGGCCCAAAAGCCAGGCCAGGTTTTCTCTCCTTTTTTCTTTAACTTGTGTGACATAGGAGCTGAAACATGTTTACCTAGAAAAGCACGTGATTTGGAATAGCAAATAATATTTGAGCAGCCAATGACAATAATGAACCAACTGTTTGAAAGAGGAGCTGCAGGTAAGTCGTGGATCCACATAAATAAAATTTGAACATCAACAAATGCTAGTAGCACATCTTTGGATAATTCAGGTTACAAAATTCAATGAACTTCAAAGGAAAAATCAGTTTACAAGAATCACATTATTACAGCACTTGTTTGTCATTCCTAATGTTCATTGGTTTCTTCAGGTGCAGCTCTCTATCACAAAGGCAAAGCATATCCTATATCACCAAATATAAGAGCAAGTCAGGCCACGAATACAAGATGTAATATCATATGCTGCCATTATATCAAACGGAGTAATTGTGCACACCTAAAGAAAAACTGAGGCATTTTTATTAAGTAATAAGTACTAGAGTAACTCTGAAAGGCACATCGAATAAATTCATTATTCATCACTGCATACATAAACTCATAAAGATCCCTGTAGATCAATTTTTATTAATATTGCAAGAAACAAAAGGTTATACAAAATCTAAACCACTATGGGAGTTCATAAGTTTCCAAATAGACATGCGCCATTTAACACTGACAGCCAATAAGTAAAAGAATGAACACACTTACACTGATAACTTTGATAGTGGACCAGTTAAAACAGCTTCTTTCACAACCATACACATCCACAGTATCCGAAGTTCGAAAAGGCTAATGGCTTACTGCTAAAACAGTGGGCAATTGGACATAGATGTAAAACTAGCTCTGTATATGAACAATCGAGCACAATTGAAACTAATTGTTACTAAACCCAAAATAGAAAGGAAACATGAACTTTGGGAATTTCATCAGGACAGCATGCTATTCATATGTCAGTCATTTGCTTTGGGGATTGAACTCATAGGTGCAAAGCACTGGAAGGCACACTCGTTTCTAAACTAGGAAGTTCAACTCACATGACTTCTTCTGTATCTCGGTTTATATGGGTATATAAGTAGAACAAACTAACGAGTACTGTGTAATGAGCTCAGTTGAAGAATTGATTGGTCCACAGAGGAATTGATTCGAGAATGGTGGCAAAACGTTATGCTTAAATTAGGGATCTGACAGGGCTTGGACCTTTTATTTTCCTCGTTCCGAAAATGCACAATCACACGAAAATGTTGCAGAGCATGCAGCACCAGACAACAGATCAAAATATTTGACAGCAAGCCGTTATCTCCTCAAATGACAACAGCCAGAACAAACGGTTACCTTGTGAGAGCGAGCACCAGCAGGAGGAGTCAACGGCGATGCAGGACCTAAGCCGCGCGGCCGCCACCGCGCTGTGCAGCGGCATGAGCGTCTCCAGCCCCGCCGACGCCGCGGCCGCCGACCTGCACCGAAACCAAACCGCCGACGTGAGCGGATGCGCCGAATCCCAGACGGACCAATCGCCAGGGAATCGGTTGGCTACCTGCGGAGGATTCGGGCGGACCGGGCAGCGGAAGGCGAGGCAAGAGAAGGCAATGGCGCGCTGAGGACGCGGCTGGTAAGGGGCGCGGAGCGGGCCGCCGACCTCACGGCGACGACGGCGGCGGCGGTGGTGCGGGACAAAGATGCCATTTCCTCTCCCCCCCTGCCTACTCGCGTCTGTGTCGAAGCAAAACCTCGTGGAGTTGGAGACACTAAACCCTAGACGCTACTTGGTTTGGGCCGACCGGCCTTAATCAGGAAGACTTTCTATGGGCCGGAGGAGAGAGAAATTTGGGTAGCCCATGGATGGATTAGCGAGAGGTGGCAACAGATTTGTTCTCTTTAGGGTGGCCATTGATAGATCGGCGTCGTCGCTGGTCCCCAGAAACAAAAAGAATAAAAACCACCTTTCAAACTACCCAAAACCCAAACAATATGGGAAACACTAGCGTCCGAACTTCCGAATATAAACAATTGATCCGGACACTTTTGCTCTACCCATCCCACCCCGGCGCTCCTTCCCCTTTGGATCCAGAGGCTTCCACTACGTTCCTTCCCTTTCAGATCCAGAGGCTTTCGCTCTACCCATCCCACCCCAGCGCTCGTCCCCTTCCGGCTCCCTCCTTTCTCCTTTGATACAATAGTAAACCACGGTAATGGTGGTTGCGCTTCCTATAGTGCTTGCAGACACCGCACCATGTTGTACGTGAGTGAGAGAGATGGAAAAAGAGACAAATGGATCAGATGTTAATCATTGCTTGTAATATTCAAGAACAAAGGTATGCAACATACTGAAACCTCATGTAACATCCAAAAAACATATTGCAACATCTTAAATCGATAGTTACAACATCAAAAAAACATGTTGCAACATCTTAAATCATTTGTTGCAACATTAACAAAAAACATGTTGCAACATCTCAAATCAATTGTTGCAACATAAAAAAAACATGTTGCAAATCTTTAACCAACAAGTGCAACATCAAAAAAAAAGTTGCAACATCTTAAATCAACTATTGCAACATCAGAAAAACATGTTGCAACATCTCAAATCGACTGTTGCAATACCGTAAAATCTATATCACATACTACAACATAACCCACCGTAGAGTGCAGATTTAGTTGCGCTTGCCTGTGAAGGAGCCCGACCATCATGGAGGAGCTTGTCTCCAGCGACGTCACACCTCCAGCGTGTAGTTCGTCGTTGAGAGACACCCAACCATGTAGGATTTCATAGCCGAGAAACACCTCACCATAGAGATGCCCACTTAAATCCACTTTGCCGCCGTGGAGGTAAGGTAGGAAGGCGAGCCGGTGCAACGACAAGGGAAGAACAAGGACGGGCGCGGGTAGGCGGGGCCGTGAGGGAGGAAAGCAAGCAGTGAGGGAGTAAGGTGAAAGTGCATCTAGCCTTTTAGTGGGTTTTGGTTGATTGAATGACAACGTGATTAAAGGACTAACCCGTTTGCTAAGTGTGAACAGGTAATAGGTTATCTCACAGGTACTTAATGAAAGCCAAAATGATGTGTTGTTGTATAAACAATCTAGTTCAAGCACAAGACAACAATGCAAATGGAATTCATGTGAAGGCTTATTTTTTTTGTGGGATTTCCATGTACTATGTGAAAGCAAGCTCATGATTATTAGTTAATGAGATATGAGGGATTGCATATGGAATGGTCTCATATTTGAAGCTTGCTAAATTAAAATGAAAAAGATAACAATACGTAGGTCGGGAGTTCCGACGGTCGGGAGTCCCGGCATGGGTCGGGAGTTCCGATGTCTCGCACTTCAACAGACGTAGAGGTTTCATTGTCTCTGGTCATCACGGACGTGTCCGTATTCACACCGGACGTGTCCCGGTATGGATGACCGAAGCCAAAGGCTAGTTTTCAAAAGCCGTGAGGGTCGGGAGTTCCGACATGCGCCGGGAGTTCCGACACCTCACTAACTTTAACTTCGATTACATGTTTTTCAAAATTCTTTGAGGGTCGGGGTTCCGACTTGAGTCGAGAGTTCGGACGGTCGGAAGTCCGGCATACTCCGGGAGTTCCGACGCCTCACAACATCTCTGTAACTTAGTTACCGTTGGCATTGATCTGAGTCATGGGGTGAAACCAGATGCATACCGGACGTGTCCCATTGCAAACGGCTATAAAACGGCTAGTTTTTCAAAGGGGGCTATAATACCCCCAAGCCTCCACCTTTGGAGGTGCTTTTGATTCGATTCGAGAGATAGACACACGTTTTTGAGCCTTGCCAACTCTCCTAAACCCTCTCTTAGTGAGTGTGTGATCCAAATTGCAAAATCAATTTGTGGGTTGAGAGAGAATTTTAAAAAGAGAGCAAGCCACCACTTGAGCACTTGTGCATATTGTCAATCTCGTGATTAGCATTTGTTACTCTTGGACTCTTCGGTCCTAGGCGGTTAGGCGTCATGGGAGAGCAACCGAGAGATTGTGGTTGCTTCGGAAAGTTTGTAATGGTCGATTCACCGCCTCGGAATCAAATTAGTGGAAGGAGGAAAAGGAGTTGGAAAAGACTCCAGCTAGAGTGACCTTGGTGGTACCCTCTAGGGTCGACCTTCATTGGTCGCCTGCTTGACCCCCTCAACGGAGAGTAGGACTCGAACGAGTTCGAACTTCGGTAAAACAAATATCGTGTCTAAATTGCATTTCATTTGATATTTGTGTTGCTCTAGCTGATTCTGCAGTTCTCTGTGTATATTGTCATCTCCATTAGGTGCCTGCAGTTTGGTTTGAAGATAGAAATCGAAAGGAGCAAGTTCGGGGCCGATTTGCAGAAATCGTGTATATCCTGGGACACGTCCCGGTATTCATACCAGACACGTCCGGTATTTCCTGCCTGCACTGAAAATATTTATTCTCTGTTCTAACTTGGTGTTGCAGGGTTGTAGCTTCTAGATATATTCTTTATACCTTGTTTACTTTGTGGCTAACTTGTGAGGGGTGATAGTACACTTAATTTGGAGTTTCCATTTTGGAAACTCCCCTTTCTAATTGTTTCCGCATTTAAAGGTGTTATTTTCCAGAAACGCCTATTCACCCCCCCTCTAGGCGGCATCCTAGGTCTTTTCAATTGGTATCAGAGCAAGGTTCTCACCTAAAGCTTTACCGCCGTGAGAAAAGGATGTCGACGCCTATCGAGTTGGAGCCGGTGCTTCTCCAAAATGATGGTTCAAACTTTCTAATTTGGTCAATACATGTACTCAATGCTTTTAGAGATATTAGTCCTCTTGTTGAGCATATTGTAGATGCAAGCATACCTATTTCTATAGTTGATTGGAACAACTACAAAAATTTATCAAAAGATGAAGAAATATGCGTGCAACTCAATGCTCAAGCTATTAATATTATTTTGAGTACATTAAGTGTAGAGGTTCAAGATGAGGCAATATTCAATGGACAACCACCTCCGGAGAGTGCTCATCTCATTTGGACTAGACTTTTTGATTTATATGGAAAATCCAAATGTGATGATGCACTTGAGATCGAGTCAATGGAAAGAATATCCATTGTGTCTTCATACAGCGAAGAAGCCTCACAAAACCTCAAGAGTGCCGAGCCGGAGCAAGAAGTGCAAGCAGCGGATGACCTGCTGTCTGCCTGCATGTACCGGACGTGTCCGGTATGCCTACCGGACGTGTCCGGTATGGCCGAGGCAGCAGACCAGCAAGCAGCTGTTTGTAGCGATGCTCAAGCCCGATGGCGACCAAGTGATGAGTCAACCTCAGTATCTCATGATACTCATCACTTGTGTCTCATGGCCAAGAAAAGCAAGAAGAAGAATAACAAGAAAGATCAAGAAAAGGAGAAAGCACAAGTAGATGATCAAGATAAGAGTGATGTTGAAATTGAAGACAACTACAACCTTGATCATCTCAACCATAAAGACAAGTTCATCATCATGAAGATAGTTGAAAAGAATGATGAGCTTGAAGAAGAGATTGAGAAGCAAGAGCAATCGCTTCAAAATCAAGAAAAGTTTCTCATCTCCAAATTGCAAGAGCTAAAGGCAATAAATGAGAGGTATGAAAAATTATCAATCGAGCATGCTTTAGTTACTAATTCCTCTTCTAGTGTTTCACAACTAGAGAAGGAAAACTTCAAGCTCAAGGCAAGGCTAGATGAACTATCAAGCAAGTATAATGAGCTACAAGCAAATTATGTTCATCTAAAGTGCTCTCATGAGGAAGTAGTAGAATCAAGCATCATGCTTGAGGTGGCTCATGAGGTTGTGATTACATCGGTAAAATTCTCTCAACCTCTCACACATCCGCTCACTAGTACACCATCTCAAATAAATATTTCTTGTACTAATGAGTGTGCACCTCAAGCAAGCCAATCTTCGATTGAGCTAAATCTTATAGAAAACATAGAGCTCAAAGAAGAAGTGCAAAGATTAAAGAAAGATGTGATTCGGTTGAAGGGTAAGGAGAAAGCACAACCTTCTCAAGATAACCGTGTTAACATGGTGAAGAAGCTTGAGAAGGGTTCAAACCTTGCTTCCTCCAAAGCCCAACAAAAGAATCACATCTCAAGCAAGGCCAACACAACCAAGAGCAAGAAACATGGAAAAAGGATGTGCTATGGTTGTGGATTGTATGGACATGAGTGGGCTATGTGTCCACACAAGAGTTGGGCCGACAAGGTTGAAGCCGCCAATCAAAAGGCTTCTACCAAGGAGGCCAAGCAAGTGAAGAGTCATGGACAATGTGCTTGTCTCATGAGCAAGAAATTGGGGCATCCTACCAAGAAATACCCAATGAACAAAGAAGCAAGAAAGCAAGCCCAAGTTGCAACTAGAAGATGCTATGGGTGCAATGAGATGGGCCACAAGGTTGATGGATGTCCATACAAGCAAAACAAGCATAGGGCAAACAAAGGTCGCATATGCTATGCTTGTGGAAGAAAGGGCATCTAAGCTATGATTGCCCAAATGGTAACATCCCTAAGCCGAACACAATTATTTATGATAATATGCTTAGGAAGACCACAAATGGAATTAGCACTAGCAAGGTGATGTGTTCACCACAAACTAGTAC